ATTTATAAAAATTTTTAAGTGCTTCCTTATGCCACACAAGGAGTCACTGGTATTTTTGCTGGTATTATGAGTGATTACATTATACACCAATTAGGAGTTCATGTAAGAACTGTACGAAGTGGAGCTCAAATAATAGGTGCAATTGGAACATCGATATTTCTTTTATGTGTAAGTTTTTCTTATTTTAATAATTTTTCCTATATTCATATATTTCAATTAATTTGTATTATTATTTTTTCATCAGACAGCTTATTTAGCACAAACTCCTATGCAAGGAATAATTTTATATTGATTGGTACAGTATTAAATTCTTTTTTTGCTTGCGGCATACACGTATCTCAGATACGTGAATTAATTATTATTCTGATCACTTTCATAATCATAAATTTTTAACTTGAAATTTATATTAATGTATGATAAATAATGTAGCATTTACTAGATGTATATTAGATATTACAAACAGAAATTGGAATATTGTTTGGATTTTAGTTACTGTATTTTATTCTATTGGTTCCATATTTTTTTGTTAGTTGGGTTGGTCATGAAGTTATAATTGATTAAGGGTTTGATTAGTTAATATTAAAAATTGTATAGCAACTTATTTTTGTTTCCTATATTGTTTGTAGAATTTTTTCACTGATTCTTCAAAACCTTTATAGATTTTAGATTTTAATGTAATTATTAAAGAACCGATTGTATTAGTTTCTTAATAATGTCACTATTAAAAGATATACTGCATGAAGAATTAAAATTATTTAGTATTATAATCGTAGCTGGTTAATAATTATAGCATTATCAATATAAAGATTATATTGCATAATAACGTTAATACAACTTGCATTAATTTTTAAACTTTAACTTATAAAAATACTAGAAAAAAATGTAAAATCAATTTTATTAAATAAGTTATCTTAATAAATTTTGAGCTATATTGCTTTTTTTAAAAATCTAAATTATTACAACTTTGTCCTAACTTTTTCTAGTTATCCTGTGTACAACACTGGACCATAAATAGACTGTACTTAAATTAGATAACTATATAAAACACATGAATTATAAATTTCAAGTTATTTGTTCTATTCTTTAATATTCAGCTCATTTATTTTGCTATCTATTAAATAAAGAAATCATTAATAAAAAATAATTTTTATTTATTAAAATAAAATAAATATAATTACCATGATAAAATGATGAAGTATAATTAATAAATTTACTTGTAAAAATTTCATCAGCACATGTTGATAGCTGTGTATTTTTAACATTTTTTAATATTTCTTCTGATTTGGTTAATTCTAACAAAATAATTTCATCATTTTGCCATTCTATAAGGATTTCACATATTTTCGTTGCTGTTGGACGGTTTGCTGGTTCTTTTTCCCAACATTTCTGCATTAGGTTTATATAACATTGTGGTGTGTTCTCAATAATTGTTGGTCGTAAATCATTACAACATATTTTTATTTGAAGTTGAGTTCCAAAATTTTGATTATAAGATACTGATTTTCCATATAAAATTTCCCACATAA